AAGGAAGGAAGGAAGGAAGGAAGGAAGGAAGGAAGGAAGGAAGGAAGGAAGGAAGGAAGGAAGGAAAGAAGGAAGGAATAGCAATAGCACCTAAACTTATATACTGCTTCATTTTGTTTACAACCCTCTCTAAGCGGTTTACAGTCAGCCTCATTTTACCACCTTGGAAGGACGGAAGGTTGAGTCAACCTTGAGCCTGGTGAGATTTGAACTGCCAAATTGCAGGCAGACAGCAGCTTGCAGTACCGCACTCTAACCACTGCGCCACCGTGGCTCAGTGCCATGCAAACAAAAAAATTATTACCTGGTGTAAGAATGAGGCACTCCGTAATTGTAGCCCGAGATATGAGCTACTCTCTGTACAAAGGAAATGTCCGTGTCTCCTAAAACATCATGCGATGAACTTGGAGATGGAGCTACCAGCTGGTCCTCTGGCCAGCTTGCCGATGCTTTTAAGGAGTCCTTCCTGGGTCTTTTGTGGATCGAATCCTGGTCGAACGCCGCAGCGGCCTCCTCTTTACCCTCGTTCGAAGAGCTGTGAGCTAAGACGCACGACGACCCAGATTCAAACTCTTTGCGATCACTTTTTCCCTCGGAATCGAAATGGAGTTGTCTCCGTGGGCCAGAGCGAGTGAGCTGGGGCCGCAGGCGTCGGGCGCTTTTCTGGAAATCTTCCTGTTTCTTCCTGACCGCTTCCTCTTCAGCCTGGAGCATCTTGATGATTCGAATGAGCTGGAAGAGACGCTTGCGGTCCTTCATGTTATGAACTCCCAGTTTGCTGTAATCCTTCATGGAGACCTTGGCAAGCTCATCGATCTTCTGGAAGCCGAGGGCGGTAAAACGCGGGAAATATTTTTGAAGTTCCGCCTCACAGAGGCATTCGTACAGACACGAGGCCATCTTCTTCCTCACGGTCGCCTAAGTCGTCAAGAAAAGAATTTCAGGCAAAATTAAACCTTTGTATATCAAAGGGTGTCGGGCTTCCCTGCCACCCCTAAATTTTATTGATTTTTTAAATTACATTTCTTAGTGCTTAATAAACATCGTGTTGTCTGGATATTTAATTTGNCTGCAGTGGGTAGAGTGCAGTACTGCAGGCCACTTCAGCTGACTGCTAGTTCAGCAGTTCAAATCTCACTGGCTCAGGGTTGACTCAGCCTTCCAAGGTGGGTAAAATGAGGACCCGGATTGTTGTTGGGGGCAATATGCTGACTCTTTAAACCGCTTAGAGAGGGCTGAAAGCCCTATGAAGCGGTATATAAGTCTAACTGCTATTGCTATTGCCATGGTGTCATGAAAGCTGCATCTACATCATTTCCTTTTAAAGTGCTAGATCAGTCTTCCCCCAAACTGATCCTCTTGCGAGAGTTAACTTCAGTTCTAAAAAATCACTCGAAAACGGAAGACTTCTGAACTGGAGGATTGGAAGGCATAAATTCAAATTCAGAAATGCCACAAAGAGGAGGGAGTCCACTCATTTTCCAAAGCACCAGAAGGCAGGACAAGAAACAACAGATGGAAACTAATCAAGGAGAGAAGCAAGGAGAAACTTCCTAACAGGGAGGACAATTAACCAGTGGAACTGCTTGCCACCAGAAATCGTGGGTGCTCCAACACTGGGGAAAGACTGGACGGCTATTTGTCTGAAATGGTGTAGCATCTCCTGCTTGAGCAGGGGGTTGGACTACAAGACCTCTAAGGTCCCTTCCAGCTCGATTCTGATTCTGAAGACTGAAGTCCGAGATACGTAGCTGAACAATAAAAATGAAGAAATATTCAACAAGGATGCCCTACCCACTAAATACATGTTGAATAAGAGGATGGGCCGTCTTCATGTACACGTCTTGATTGGAGCATGACTCCCCAAAGACTTCGTCGAAATAAAACACGTGCTGCAAACAACAGAAAGGACATTTAGCGCAAGGGGGAAAAATTCCTCTAACTAGGCAGCCGACGTAACCAAGGACACGGCCTCATTCAAAGTTATGAGGAGTTGCATTGTTCTGAGAGGGCAAAACCACATTAAACCCGCCAAGAAGCAGCACCATCAGCAGCTGCAAATAGATGGGGGGGGGATAACCTCTCTCGTTTCATTTCTAAGCTCCACCCAGTCGAGATGCCTTGGGAAGAGAACAGCCAGCGCAGCCGTAGGAAGATGGGAAACATTAGATGGTCTTAAAAAAGCAGCTGTGTAGGTTTGTGATGGCGAGCCTATGGCATGCGTGGCACAGGTGGCACACAGAGCCATAACTGCCGGCATGGCAGCTCTCAGCTCCGGCGCACATGTGCACGCTGGCCAGCTGGTTTTGGGGCTTCCAAAGTTCCAGGAGAGGCCGTTTTCACCCTCCCCAGGCTGCAGTATAGCCTATGGAGCCTGGGGAGGGTGAAAACTCCCTCCTCCACACACGAGGGAGTCCACATGCCCAGGCGTGGGGGTGGCCATTCACGCATGCGCATGTAGGTGGGCACGGCAAAGCGCACACACACGCAATTTTGGCATAACTTTAGAAAAAGGTTAGCCATCACAGGTGTAGTTCATTGAATTGAACAAAAGTTCAATGCTAAGAATTGTAAAGATTTTTTTCTCTCTCACTCTCCCCCCTCTCTCACCTTCCCTTCTTTTCCCTTCCCCTCCTTTCCTCTCTTCCCCTCCCTCTCTCCATGCCCCCTCCCCTTCTCCCCCTTCTTTTCCCCTCTCCCTTCCTCTCTTCCCCTCCTCTCTTTCTCCCCCTCTCTCCCCATCCCTTTCTCTTTCCCCCTCCCTCTTTCCCTCTTCCTCTCCCCCCTCTTTCACTCCCTCCCTCTCTCTCTCACACAGACACACACACACACCTGCAAGATGTACTGTGTGAGGTCAACAGCCTCTTTCTTCTCATGCAGCAGGAGCGTTTCCTTGTCTTCCACCGTGAGGATGTTCACTTCTCCACGCCTCTCTTCCCGCAAACCGAGGGGCCTTTTGCGCACACACACACGGATCTTGTCCGTTTCGATCCACGGGGTCTCTTTCTCACCCGCAGTCGCTCTACAAAAGGCAGGATTTCAAATGGGCTGTTAGCACGTCACGCAGAGGAAAACAAGCAAAAGGATAGGCGTACAATTTTATTTTATTTTTTAAATAGTGTGTAGAATCTCCAGTGTCAAAATTTTATTTGATGGTGGTAAATTTAATCTCTCGTCAAATCGATATCTCAACAGTGATTGTGAAAGGAATCGGAGTTTCTCAGTGGACAACTATTTAAACAGGAGCCAGCCGTGTGCAGCAGCTGCGAAAAAAGCCAACACAGTTCTAGGCTGCATCGTCATGGCCAACTCAACGTCATTCGCGTCGATGGGCGCTTCGTCTTAGCTGTTACAATGTCATAAGGGTTAACAGGAGAGGCAGTTTCTAGAAGCAGGGTAGAAACACCACCAGAATGTTCCTTCCTTTCTGCCTTCCTTACAGGATTAGCCCTGGAACATGGGGAAAAAAACAAAATGAGATTTCTTCCAACAACTGGTTCTCTGAACTGCTTAGAAAGTTAACGACCGGTTCTCCCGAATAAGTGCGAACCGGCTGAATCCCACCATTGGTATGTATGTATGTATGTATGTATGTATGTATGTATGTATATGTATGTATGTATGTATGTATATATGTATATGTATGTATTGTGTCACAACCCCTGGTATGCCCAAATATGGGAGGAAGCATACTGCTTCCTTTCTCTGTCTATCAGCTCATATATATATATTTATTTATTTTAAGGGCCTTCCCCTTNATACAATACTTAGCGATAGTCAAGGTTACTAATAAGCTATCAAATCATATTAGGAAACAAATAAAAACAATATAAATTGTAAAGATACAAACAACATAGTTATAGTCATAAGATATAAATACTTGTAAGGAAGAGAAGAAGAATAGTAAAACAGTCTGAGTAAATAAATTTGAAAGTATTGTGGGAATTATTTGTTTAGCAGAGTAATGGCATTTGGGAAAAAACTGTCCTTGTGTCTAGTTGTTCTGGTGTGCAAGTGCCCTATAACATCCTTTTGAGGGTAGAAGTTGAAACAAAAAAAAGTTAGCTAGATTTATTGGTAAATGCGGTAATTATATTAACACGCCAATGTGTGGAATACATTTTTTCTGACCATGAGTTGGTTTTGAGAACTCTTGGGTGCAGCCAGCTTGTTACTTTTTTTCTGATTGGTATTGGAGTAAAATTAATGTTTCCCAAAACTGAACCAATTCCAGCTGTGTGAACTTGCAAGAATTCTTGCTAGCCTGGGGAATTCTGGGAGTTGAAGTCTGTATATCTTGGCAGTTACCAAATTTGAGAACCACAGAACTGAGATGATGACTTTTTTTCAGGCAGAGAGTTGGGCTAATCTAGCTGGCTGAGGAATTCTGGGAGTTGAAGTACACAAGTCTTAAACTTCCGAGATTGGACACTCCTGTTTTGAGTATTTCATAAAGCATTGCCTTAAATGAATTGTATGGGCAGTAGAGGCAACATGGCAGAAAATACAGATTTCCCATGCATATAGCAAGTCCCTAGTGTACTGTATTATAAATTTAAGGTAAGCTTATAGTGTTATTTTTTTTTCTTTAAAGATCCAGTTTTCTTTATTTTATTTTTTATCATTGTCTTTGCACATTTTTTATCATGGCAAACTGGAAAATCCTGTTGTGGAGGAGGAAGTGGGACTTGTGAAATTGTGCAGTATATTGTGTATTGTCTTAAATCTGTGCTTTTAGATGCCATTGGATGATACAATTGTCATTCTGAAAATATTTGTCATGAAAGATTGGAATCAGCTACTGTGACAATGAATATTTCAGATAACTTTCCTTTCCTTCCTGTGAAGCATTCAAGTTCAGTGACCTTGTGTGGATCTACTCCATCTTTCCTCTTTAAGGAGGAAGTAACCCTTTTTCTCTGGACTGCTTTTTATCCTTCTGGAAAAAAAGTAATTATGACAGTCAAATACATAAACTCTTCAAGAGCAGAATCTGTATCAGGGTCATATTATCTTCACAGTTTTGACACTCGACAAAATAAGCAAAATATTATCTAGTGTAAACCTCTTGAGGGTTTATCATTAGTCTGTGCAGTACAGAAATGAAGACTGCTGTCTTCCATTGTGTATGCTCATTACACTACCAATTAATGGTTCCACCACAAATCTGCGAAGCCCTTCTGCGCGGAGACATAAGCGCGAAGACTAATTCGCGCCGTTCTAAGCGCTAAGGAAAAACGCGACCCT